TTCAGACTCCTCACACCTTACAGCCCACCACACACCCAGTGACAACGGTCTCCTTGTTCTCCCACGAGACGCTCCGCCTCTTGGCTCCTGCCTTCTACAGGAAGCCTTTCCTAGTGCCTACCCACTATGGATTACTGCTTATTAGATTATCTAATTAGATTATCTCTAACTTACACTGTAGATAGCTTATTTCTACATAGTCGTTTAGACCAGGGTTTCTAAACTTTTTTCTCTTGCAAACCACTGTTCACATTTTGGCAGCGTTGCATGGCCTGAGGGCACGTGCAGTGCAAAGTGTGCATGCTTCCTGCTCAGAACCAAGACTGCAGTGAAGTTGTACGATGCAGTATGGGCAAGAGCTGCCAGAAACACCTCAGATTCCTTACGCGTTTGATTTTTAACTAATTTTTAACTAATTTAACTAATCCTTCAGAATATCTCTTCACTGTTGCCAAAATTTTTCACAACCCCATATGGGGTCGTGACCCACAGTTTAAGAAGCCCTGGTTTAGTTTAAGAAGCCCTTCATACAAGGAGCTTCTGTATGAAGGGATGGTCTTGTCTTTCTCTATATCCACAGTGCCCAGCAGAGTGCCACATGGTAGATTAATAAATACTCACTACCAGTGGAGGAAATATGATGAGTGAATCTGCCGAGGGTGCTTAGCACCTTAGAGATCATCAGTCCAAACTCCCCTCTCTATATATGAGGAAACTAGTACCCAAAGCTGTGAAAAACCTGTCGCACGTTCACATAGCTGGAAAGTAGCGGAAGGTGAGCATTCACACACAGGTCCTCTGACTATGTCCAGTGCTGCTTTGATCATGCCATGTTGTTCAACAGCAGTTTAAAAAGCCATACAGCACAGTTATATACTCTGGAAGGGTGTGTGTGTGTGTGTGTGTGTGTGTGTGTGTGTGTGTGTAAAATTATTTGAACTGGGCCAAAACTAGCTCTCGGTTTCTTTTTTTTTTCTTTCTTTTTTTTGTTGTTGTTATTTTAGGCAATGGGGTTAAGTGACTTGCCCAGGGTCACACAGCTAGTAAGTGTTATATGTCTGAGGACGGATTTGAACTCAGGTCCTCCTAAATCCAGGGCCGGTGCTCTATCCACTGCGCCAGCTAGCTGCCCCTAGCTCTCAGTTTCTTTACTAAACTTTCAATCCTAGTCGAGTCATTTAACCTTGCAATGTCCCCAAACAACACGTCTAAGACTAAAAAGCACAGAGAAATCCCAGCTCATTGGTAAAGGAGATTTCTCCCCTGAAACTCCCTCCACTAACTGCAGCAGAGGTTCAAGCCCGCCTACCCTTCCTGTCCCCCCCCCCAATTACATACACAAGTACATGCATACATACATACGCATATAAAAGAAGAGAGAAGTAATGTTTTGGGAAAGATAATAATCTCCTATTATTTTCCTAAGGTTTTTTTGTTAACAGTTGCAGGGGGAAGAAGTATCATTCAAAAATTTTCAATGGAGGGTTCTTAGAAAAATACAGAGAATCCCAGAATATATAGTTTTATCACTTTTCTACAATCTATGTGCTTAAATTAAAGTTGTTTTTCAGTCATGTCTGATTCTTTGTGATCTCATTTAGGGTTTTCTTGGAAAGGATACTGGAGTGGTTTGCCATTTTCTTCTCCAACTCATTTACAAATTGAGGAACTGAGGCAAACAGGGTTAAGTGACTTGCCCAGGGTCACAGAGCTATTAAGTATCTGAGGCCAGATTTGAACTTAAGAAGAACAGTCTTCCTGACTTCAGGCCTGGTACTCTATCCACTGTGCCACCTAGCTGCCCAAAAAACTAAAGTAATACAATATTACTACCCAGTTCTTGAAACAGGGCAAGATAGGGAGGGATGTACTCCTACTTTATTTCAAGAGAGCCTGAAACCATCTCTTTCAGTGAACTTGCCTAGAAACTTTCTATGATTATACTCATCTTAGATCTTTGGTAATCTCACTTTTTTTCTCCCCGCCTTTAAAACATACTTATAAATAAGACGAACATTATCCAATCCTCTAAAGTTGATTTATTTATCTTCTTTCTTCCAGAGCTCAACAAAGAAATAAAACAGATGGCCTCTCCACACTTTATGAAATGAGGGCAATGTGATTGTCCAAGGTGAAGATAAAAGAACCATCAATCTCCTGGTTCTGTGTTCCAGTAACTAAAGTTTTACTTGGGTGTGAGGATCAGCTTTTCCCTTCTCTGTGTTCATGAATTAAAAAAATAAAATAAAAAGAATATGTAGGATGTAGTGAATTTTTCACTCAAGCAAGAATCTGCAAATTTTGACAAAATTCATTCTTTCTCACTCTCAGTCAGCAAACACAATAACAGTTTTTGTTTTATCCCAGCTTGTTATGCCCATTCTGAATGTTAACCGGCTTCATCTAAACATTGATATTTTTGCCTCTTAAATTGAAAGAGAAGCTGAGTATCAATTCTTTCTGGTTTCCCGGATCGTGATGGCAGAAATCACACCTTCTCTCTGCTCTTTGAAGTTCCACCAGAGACTGACGTAATGTGATATGGCCACTAGGCATTCAGAAAACATTTATCCTAATCACAGCTTTGGCCTTCCATCCTCTTTACATAACCATAATGCTTATTGGCCCATATACACCTATTTGTATATACATACATACTTACACATATGCACACATATATGTGTTCATATACATATGTTCATATACCTATACATAAGTATATAGCTATACTACACATTATATTACATGTGCATGTAAAATCAGTTCTGCTATAATGCATGTTTCAAAAATGCAAATTTGAGGGCAGCGAGGTGGCGCAGCGGATAGAGCACCAGCCTTGAAGTCAGGAGGACCTGAGTTCAAATCTGGCCTCAGACCAAACGCTTGACACTTACTAGCTGTGTGACCCTGGGCAAATCACTTAACCCCATTTGCCTAAAACAAAACAACAACAACAAAAAAAATGCGAATTTGTTACAGGATCATTACCATCAAGTTTCTGTATAATTTTTCCCTTAAGAAAGATCAAGGATGCAAGAAGCTACACCATTTTATAATAACTCAAATACCTACTGCGATGCCCACTTCTCCAAGCACATTTCATGCTCTCATCAAGGTGAAGTGCCATATTTGTTGTGTATCTTCTCGCGCGGGAGGGAAGCTGTGGGCAGAGAATGGCTGGTCTACACCACCCCCATCCGCCACGGCCTATGACACCGAGGGGAGAAGACTTGGCTGTTCTTTATTGCAGTATTTATGTATTTCTTAACCATTTAACATGTATAAAACTGTGCTACCATTTTTATGAGTTCCTATCTTTTTTTTTAATGTGTCACTAAGTTTTTGAGTGTTGTATCTCTAACCTTATTTTCCCCATAAGCTCTGTGGTTTTTATTTTGTAATACTGCGTAGAGCAATATTTTGGGGGGGAACACATTCACATTATAACAGAACCGCCTATGTGTATACATGTGCGCATACCTACACACATATACATACATATACACAGGGGCACGCACATATATGTCCTGTGCATAGATATTTGTATCCCCAGTGACTACTATACTGTCTGGCACACAATAAGCGTTTAATAAATGCCCAGGAATTAATTACAAAGACAAAATACAAAATAGTAAGTAAAGCTGGAAAAACTTGGCAGTGGAGGAAACCAAGATATTCTCTTTGCCTCAAAGGTAAAGACATGAATTGATCAAATTCAGCTCATTTCTTATGATAAAGTGAAACATAAGAGTAGCTCCTACAGTTATAACCTAATGCTTATATCATCTGAATCAAACTAACCTAATATAGTTCAGAAGAAGAGTGCTGCTTCTATCCAGGTGGACACATTTGGCTGCATACTATGTGGGATTAAAGAGGTAAGAAACCACCTAAAATTAGACGATATAGCTCAATTACAGGAAAGCTAGAAAAAGAAAAAAAACACTCAAATTTATCTGATAGGAAGAAAATTTATCTTGATCTTTAACAAAAACAAACACAACAACAAAGAGGAAAAAGTCAAAAGGCCGAAAGAATTTCCAATTTGCCTAGGATGAAAAGTTGCCACAGTAAATTAAGGACATACAGATAAAAAATTAGGGACATCCTGAAAAAAAAATACTCTTGATGATATAAAAATAATATTCATAAAAACTTGATACATGCTTCTTGGGGAAGGGAACATTTTCCCTTCCACTTTTGTCTTTTTATTCTCAGCCACTAACTACTGCAATGTGAGGCATATGTCAAGTATTTAATAAATGCTTATTCATCCATTATATAAGTACTTGATAAACCATATGCTACTTATACTAGTAATATGACACATTTCCTAACGTCCTTCCTAAAGGGAAATAACCAAACCCTCAATGAAAGAATATCACTTGTAATAATTTTCAAAGATAGCAGCAAACATCTAAAAATCTATAAAATCATTTTGCATAATCACCATTTTATGGTTTTTTTTTAAGGTGAAAATAAAAACAAGTAACACAATTCTTATTTGATATTTACTCTTTTCCTCAGTGTTTGCTTGTTTGGTTAGCAAGTGCAGTTAGCAGTAATGTCATTAATGATGATTCAAGGGGAAATTCAAGAAAGTAAATTCTGAAGGCAAAAAGAGAAAGCTAATCAGAGATAACCCAAGAATCACAACGGTAGCATCTAAGTATGCCAAGAGTAAGCAGAGAGCAGAGAGACGCTCTCGACCTTAAACAAGATAATGGAAGTAAAAGGAGACCTTTTCATCCTTGGTCAATAGCTACATAAGAAAAAGCTAAGTTCACTTGGTATGGAAAAACTTAGCACTAATATTAGGTTGCTATTTGATTTATTAACGTTTGATAAAGGGGGAGGGGGAAGACTGAGGATTTAGAAAAATACTGTTAACTAAAATTACCTGGCAAACATTCATTTATTTTATTTCAATACCTTCCACAGAGAATAATAAACTTGTATTCATTTATATAACCCAATTAATTTGTGATGATTTATGATACCTGTGGATTTATTTGATGCTCGCCTTCGAATTTCAGTCACCATTAGACGTGAAACTTGGGTTGTAAACTGTAGAAGATCAGAGAATTTTTCTGTCATTGTATTTGGTGGAGCATTTCCAAAAACCTGCAAATGACAAAACATGATTTTAAATGAAACAGTTCTTTCTATAAATTTATTTTTACTATGTATTTTATAAAATACAACATTAAAACCAGAAAGCATACTTGTATTAGATCAAAATGGGAGTTATCAAAATTAATTCTTTTTCACTTATTTAAAGACTGTGAATGAATTCCATTAAGCTAGAGAAAACAGAGATATTGTTTCATGGAGAAAACATGAAGATTTCATAAAAGTAATTTTTTAGGGTACTCTGAAGATAAACAATTATACCATCTCGGAACCAATAATGATTTATCTTCTTGGTGGGTCCGAAGGTAAATACGGAGATTAAGAAATTGAAGGAATTCAACGTCCACCTTATATGAAATTTCAGGTTCTAAGCAACTCAGAGAATGAGCAAATCAAAAAAGGACAAAGTACCATGAGGCAAACCTACTCTACAAAGTAGACTACAAAAAAGCAATGGATTCCTGATAAAGCTAAAATTATTCTCTGTTTAAGAGTACCAGCAAAATGAAACCTAGAGTACTTTAATAAAGAACAATTAAAGGGCAGCTAGGTGGTGCAGTGGATAGAGCACCAGCCCTGAAGTCAGGAGGACCTGAGTTTCAATCCGGCCTCAGACCAAACATTTGACATGTACTAGCTGTGTGACCCTGGGCAAGTCATTTAACCCCAACTGCCTAAAAAAGAAAGAAAGAAAAAATTAACAAGTAAAGAAAAAACATTTTTTCAACATTTAATAAAATACCGTGCTATAAATTCTCTAGGTTCCAAACAAATACTTGAAGGCAACCAACTGATTTCACCATCCATAAATAATTCATTTCTCTCTGTCTCTCTTTCCTTGTCTCTGCCTCTGTCTCTCTTAGCACTTTGTCCCTACTTGTTTTTATCTTTCTTAAAGCATCCGTCAAATATTACCTTCTATCATAGTTATTTCACCCAATCCTACTGGGGAATCTTGGCTAAGTAGAGACAAATTGTACTGGGAGTCAGATTAGAATCCTGATTCTAGCACTTCACTAGTTAGCTAGGTACTGGTGGGAAATGCACAAACTGAGCCTCAGTTTCCTCATCAGTAAAATGGGGATAATGATATTTTTAATACTTGTGTTACAGGAGTGAGGCCCAATGAGGCGATGTTTATAAATACAGTGTTGTGCAAATCCTAAAAAAAAAGTTATCATTTTTGAAGAGTGCTGGATTTGATATTAGAGAAACTAGAAAATTTGGTTTTGAAATCCAACATTATCACTATTACTTTGGACAAATCTCTCTAGGCCTTCATTTCTATAACTCTAAAATAAAATGACCTCTTAAGTCTTTGAAGCACCTAATATAAGGCCCCTACACTTTCTTGCAAAGGTAATGATGATCATAAGATCTTGAAGTGAGTGAACCTAAGTAGACGAAGATGTAGACTTTTATATACCCCAGCTAGAAAACTGTAAATAGTTTCTAGTCATATTATAACAGCTTCCTAATCAATGTCCCTGACTTGAGTCATCCTCTTCTTCACCACACCCTTCATCTAATTCCTAAAATGACTGTCCTGGATGATCTGTCCAGATCCATGGTCCATGCCACCTTTAGTGACCGTCCATTATCTATAGAAGACAAATATTTTGCCTAACATTTAAGGTTGCTATGATCTCTTTCCAACCTGCCTTCCCAACCTAAATTCACATTACTCTTTCTCCTATTGGAATTCATGAATTGACTCTTCAATACTGTTCTTCCCACTCTTAAGAATTTGTTGAAGCAAATACCAGATTAGTGGTTGCATCAAATAACTAAGTTCCCATTGTGATTTTACTAAAACTTTAATCTTGAAGAAAAATGTATTTGTGAGTTTAAGCTGTGTTTATGTTTACAGAATATATGTTTGTATTCATTTGCCAGTATGGGAGAGCATAACGTTTTATACTGTGGTGGGTCATTAATAATAATTAAGGAAACAATCCGAGCATAAGTGATTTATTGGGTAGGCAGAATGAATGGGTCAGAGACTCTCCAGTCAGTCCAAAGACCCTGAGTACTGAGTAAAGCAGATTTTTATACACAAAAAACAACTAATCAAATAAGTCCAATTAATTATAATAAAAATAGTTAACCAGGATAAAAGCCAGAATGCAAAATTAGGTAATCTAATTTCTAATTGGAGGAAAGATCAGAGGCTTTCCAAATTGAGAGGGGGAAAGAGTGAGTTTCGGTCGAGTTTCAGAGTCTTCTACTCACAAAATGAAAGATGTTGATTAATTGCATACACCTGCATGTATAAAACAATAGATGGCTTATATAGTCTAGTTTCCCATGGATGAATAACAGAAAAACAACAAGATGGAGAATACATATGGCAGCACAAGATGAAGTCAGCATTTATGAGAGATAATCTGATTGGACCTCCTGATTCTCATCCTAAATTGACTCCATTTTGTACATGGTCTTCATTTTATCTTATCAACACCATTAGCAGATTTGTTGACTACTGTCCTCTACAAAATACAATGTAGGTATTTGATAAAAAAAAAAGTGTGCTGTCTTCATTTTTAAAAATGACAAACTCAAAATTTGTACGTTTCAAAAGTATACAGGGGGCAGCGAGGTGGCACAGTAGATAGAGCACCGGCCCTGAAGTCAGGAGGACCTGAGTTCAAATCCGGCCTCAGACCAAACACTTGACAGTTACTAGCTAGCTGTGTGACCCTGGGAAAGCCACTTAACCCCAATCGCCTAAAAAAAAAAAAGTATACATATATTATCTTTTGGCCCAAATTTCTGAATCTCTTCACCCAAGAGAAGTGGCTTACTATAAAATTGAGAATTATAATTCAAAATGTGTTCGCTTATTGTGTCATTTATATACATCTCAACAATAAATATAATGATTTGCAGGTAAAAAAAAAAGTACAAGTAATTACCCAGGCATGAAATGTGCTCCTTCTCTGTCAAAATCTTTTTCTTCTCCTTCAAGAACCTATTCAGGCCTTCATGAAGCCTTCCCTGATTCATCCAGTGATTCACCCTTGCCAAGTCTTCTTAGAGCACTACCTCCACGGCTCCTTTGCACTATCACATTCTGCCTTGTGTTACATCTATCTGTGTTTAGGTCTGTGATACACGTATTTGAATTTAGGTCACATTTGTTCCCCTCCCCAGAGCAGAACACAGGCTCGCTAAGGCTGGGTACCGAGTTATTTTTTGTCATTATATTATTAGTACAACGCTTTACACAGAGCAAATGCTGGAGTTATAGAGAGAGATCCATCTAGATCTATCTCTCTGTCTGATAACTGGTAAGATTGAGGTTGGCCACCATTTAGGACATGAGTCAACAAGTCAACAAACATTTATTAAGGACCTATTGGGAGCCAGGCACTACGCTAAGCACCTAGGATACAAAGAAAGAGAAAAGCTCTCTGGGGGATCACAGTCTAATGGGGAAGACAACACACAAACAACTATGTACAAATAAGAGACACATAGGACAAACTAGAGATAATCAATTCAGAGATGGCACTAGCATTCAGGGAGATCCAGATAAACATCTTCTAGAAAGTAAGACTTAAAGTAACTGAGGTAAGCCAGGAAATGGAGAATGAAGATGGGGAGGGAGAGAATTCCAAGTATGGGGAACAGTAAAAACACCCAGAGTAGGGAGATCATATGTCTTATTTGAGGAAAAGAAAGGAGGCCAGTATCACTGGATCATAGAAATATGGGTGGTAGAGAGGGGGAGGGCAGATTAGAAAGCAAGAAGACAGGAAAGATAGGAGTGAGTAAGGGCTCTGAAAGCCAAAGAGAGAACGTCATATTTGATCCAGGAGATGAGGAAGCCAGTGAATTTGACTGAATATGGGGCTAACGTGGCCAGGGCTAGCCTGTGCTTTAGGAAGATCGATTTGACAGCTGACTTAAGGACGAATTAGAGTAGGGAGAGATGTGAGTCAGGGAGACCAATCACCAGGCTAGCACAACAGTCCAGGAATGAACAGATGAGGGACGTACAGTAGTGTCAGAGGAAAGAAGAGGGGTTGTACTAGACAAGCTATAAAAGTCGATTTGCTAGAACCTGACCACAGACACCTAGATTGCAAATCTAAGTGACTGGGGTGCGATGGTGCCCTCTACAGTAATATGAAAGTGATAGGAAAGAATAGGACAGTACATGTGGGGAGAGTGGGAAAGAAGAGAGGATGAGCACTTCAACAGTGCTTAACACCTGCCAAGCTCCCTCCGTGCTAAGCACTTTACAAATACGGTCTCATTTGATCCTCAAAACAGTACCAGACGGTTGGTGCTCTCCTTTACAGCAGAGGAAATTGATGCAGTTTTTGACATGCTGAGTTTAAGATGTCTGCAAGATATACAGTCAGAAATGCTCAAGAGGTATCTGGAGATCCAAGTATGAAGGTCATCTAAAAATGAGAAGTACCAAAATAATAAGTCACAGAAGCTGATGAGATCGATCGCCAGCGAAATATTATAGAGATAGAAGAGAGCTCAGGACAGAGCCTCGAAGGAAACCCACCATGTGTGGGCATGGCCTGGAAGAAAGCTAAATAAAGCAGAGGGAATAGGAGCAGTTCAACAGGTAAGAAAACCAGCATAGAGTCATGTCATAAACACCTAGCACTATCAAGGAGAAAAGCATGGTTGATCTCCAGTAGCAAAGGCAGCAGACGGGTCACAAAAGGTAAAGACTGAGAAAAGGCTACCAGATCTGTCAATTAAAGAGATCATCAGTAACTTCGGAGAGAGCGTTGCAATTGGATAAAGTTAGAAGTTAGACTGTGGAATAAAGAGGGTGAAAAGAAAGGGAAGCAGCCAACTGCAGACCGCCTTCTCAAAGAGGTTGGCCAAGTAAGGGAAGAGAAATTGAGGATGACAGCTGGCAGGGAAAGACAAACAAAGTGAGGGGTTTTTGAGGATGGGGGAGACATGAGCTTGTAGGCGGTAGGGAATCAGCCAGGAGCAGAGAGATTGAAGTTTGGTGA